TTTATTGTACATCACACATGCCACAATCCCAAGGCTTTTGCCTTGGTGTGAGAGATAAGAGCCTGAACCAAGATTAGAGCTGAAGGTTTGGAGAAGTGGAAGGTGATTCAGAAGAGATGTAAAAGGTTGAAACAATGAAATATTGTGCTTGATTGAATATAAGGAGTTAAGGGAAAGGAGGGAATTTAGGATGAATCCCCAAATGTCTGACTTAGTTAGCTTTATGAAAATGCACCCACCTGCAAAGGGAATACTGGCCACTGGGGCTAGGGAGGAAGGAGGATGGTGACTTCAGTTTGAAAGTGTTCAGTACAAGAAGCTGTAGGAGGAATAGTGGGTGTCTTTTTTTTTTAAGATTTTATTTATTTATTTTGACAGAGAGAGACAGAAAGGGAACACAAGCAGGGGGAGTGGGAGATGGAGAAGCAGGCTTCCCGCGGAGCAGGGAGCCCAATGCAGGGCTTGATCCCAGGACCCTGGGATCATGACCTGAGCTGAAGGCAGACGCTTAACGACTGAGCCACCCAGGCGCCCCGGAATAGTGGGTGTCTTGTGTTAGCAAGTCCAAGAGGCAATTGGGTTATATGGATTTGGGACTAGAGAACGACTTGGTAGCCAGTGGCATATATATGATAGTATAAAACCTTAGGCACAGATTCAGTTAGTGGAGGAGATTTTATTTAGAAGAAAAGAGATCCAGTAGAGAACCCTAGAGAATACAACATAGAAGAGGCAGCAGAATAAGATGAGCTCACAGAGTAGCCTAGGAACAAATAACTAGTGGATCCAGAGAGCAGGACAAGACACCAACTTGCTGTGGAACTCTCCATCAGTAAAGCAAATGTAGATAACTCAGTAAAAAATGGCAAACACTGTCATCGATCTCATTATAAAAATTATTGACTTCAAAGGATCTTATTTTTATTAAAAATTATGATGATTTTTTTAAGTTTAAGTTTAATTTTTTAAGTGGCCTGCGTATGCACTGAGTGCCATTTGGATACTAAGCCTTGATGAATCTTGAGACTTGACATCAAGAAGTCAGCAGATAACAGTGTCGGGGCATACAGCATGGTTTCATTAGAAAGCTTGGCCTCGAAGATGTGTTAAGGGTGAACCAATGACCCATAAGCAGGGGTAAGATCCCAGAACACAATGGCACTCTCCTCTCAGTCCCTTGGAATCTGAAGGCATGGCAAAATTAAGCAGCTTTCTCTTCATGGCTCTAAAGGAATTTGAGTTAAGGCAAGTTGATGGAGCACTTGTCCTTCCAAGCAATTGAAGGAGTTTGCCCCAGAAAGGCTAAAAGAAGGGTCAAATTGTTTTGGTATTGAGATACTTGGGGTTGGGGAAAGAAAGAAAAAGCACCAGTGTTTTTACAGGATGAATAAGCAGAGAAACCAGATTGTGGGGTGGGGTGGTGATGAAGGTTGACGCAAATGAGGGGTATTATATCAGCTTGTTTCCCAATCACACCTTTTGGATGCTACAACCAATGTGAGCCTCCAAGTGCTGTGATTATCGGGGCCTGCATTGGAAGGGGAGAAAGTAAAGCAAGACCTCGGGCACCACAGTGCTTTCATTACTGTCTGCTATTTATTTTGCAGCTGGGACATTACAGTGGGTGGAAGAATCTCATAAAGGAGTTGGATCCTTGCAATGCTGAAAGGATAGTCAGTAGAACCCATATACACTCGGAGATCTCACGGCAGACCAAAGGGCAAAGGCTGGGATGGAAAGGGAAAGCCAAATGGAAATCTGCACAAAGAAGCATGAAGAAACTCCGCAGAGCTTCAGGAGCGTAGAGGGAGAGTGACTGTATGAGCAGCATAGCCTTACTGTTTCTGTGGATGTGGTCTGCTTTCCCAGAGTTGGTAGCTCTTACTGTTGTGTAGCCTTTTATTTGTTAATTTTTCATGCTTTATTTCAAACAGCATCTGACTCATACTAGGATCATCCCATGTGCGGCAGCTGCACATTTTTCTTCGAAATGTTCTTGCTCAGTAATAGGGTCAGGAGGCCAATAGCCAGAATGTGTTCAAGGATAAATGGTTTTCCTTGTAGTGGTGGAAAAAATGCAAAGGATAAAAACCAGGTGGGGGCAGAACTGAAACAATGGGTGGTTAGCCCTCTCCTATGAAATTTGAAGGTTCGGGCAGATTTGTGATTACCTTCACGAAGTTATGATCATTTGAAATAATCCCTACAACTGGGGCATCTGGGTGGCTCAGTCAGTTAAGCATCCAGCTCTTGATTTCAGCTCAGGTCATGATCTCAGGGTGGTGAGATCGAGCCCCACGACAGGCTCTGCGCTGGGCTTGGAGTCTGCTTAAGATTCTCTCTCCCTCTCCCACTGCCCCTCCCCCCCCAAAAATTAAAAATCTATTTAATAAAAAAGAAATAATTCATAGAACTGAAAAATTGTTCATGCAGTAGTAATTACTTACATGGTTCTGAGCCAGTGCAGTGACTTCTCCTGGGGCAAAGGAAAACACTGTATGTTTTAGACGGTCGAGGAGGACGAGGAACAAGAAAGAGAAGAGAGAGCCATCACCACATCATTCATGTTAGAGGTGCATTCAGATTTGGAACGACAACTCTTGATTGCTTTAGACACATTTAATTCAGACATCTAGAACTTTGTTCCTTTAAGTGTGGACTTCGGAGATCTGGGGAGACAACAAGAATGCACAGCCAACTGTAAAGGGCTGTACCTTGAGCTCAACTGATAGAAATCTTTGAGGGCCGTTAAGTTATTTTCTGATTTCCTTAAACTTTAGAAGAACTTCAAACTTCATGTTCCAAGTTATACTCCCTTTTTTGCTGGCTATTCTGGGCTAGTCACTAGCTTCTAGAAAAATGAATTTAGTAATGACTACTATTGACCATTTCATTTTTCCAAAAATCCCGTGCAGCATCCTGAGTGAAGAACTAAAACAACAGATGACTCTTGGGGTAAATTCCTGTTCTAAAACCAGTCCTACGTGTGGAACAAAATCCTAGAATTAAATTATGGTGTCCACTCTGCTCCCATCACCACCAACAAAGAAACTGTTTTGAGGAATGTGTTGGTGTGAGGAAGGACAGTGGTATTGTGTTGTTAATAACCATCATGCTGTGTAAGAAAGTACCCCAGAAATTGCTTTTAGCTTTCCTAGATAGTCTAAACTCTTGTTAGATTAGCAGCTATACAGGAGAATATCTGATAGAGTTAACGAGTAAAAATTCTTTCCAAGACTTCATAATGAAGGAGCCCCTGTTGTTACATAGTATCTGCTACTTTAGGGATTCCATTTCCGGTCACAGTTGTCCCAAGATTGATCCTGAACACCCAGGAGCGCCTCTGCAGATACTCCCATTGGTTCACCAAGGCTTCAGATGAACATCTGTCCAGTGGCTTACGTCCTAAAAGTGTCTGCCTTTCTCCGTCACAATTCTTAACGGCACAAGATTTCATTTTACTTTTGCTTTTAAACACAAAGGACCCGCCATTTGGATTTTTAATTTAGAATTTCTTTTTACTTTAGGAAAGTTGATCTAAAACAAAAGTAGTCTTCTCTAAAACAAGTTTTTCCCCAGTAAATGATATCCATCTCCCCGAACATACTCCCAAACTCCCAAAGAAGTTATATTCCCCTTCTCTCATCTCTTTGCCTCTGTGTGCAATGTTATTAACAGGTTCACATGGATTCTTTAGCTGGTGTTTAAAGTTAAAAGCAGAGCCATGTGAGATCATAAAAGGACTGGAGAAAATGGTGTTTGCTGTGACTGACTTGGACTCCTCCCCCTTCATCTCTTGTGTTCAGTCTTGCGTACATGGGAAGGGCATGGGTTAAGGCCATGACTGCGTAGGGGACACATCAGGTTAAGTACTCTTGATTATCCAGACCATTTTGCCCTCTGTCCACACACCGTGGTGTGACCCTGAGGATGCGGGATGAAGGTGAGACTAACATCAAGAGAGAGGGGTACTAATGTATTAAGGTATTAAGAAGAAGAGCTTTTGTTGATTGGGTTAGAGGATAAAGCTGAATCCTCCCAGCAGCCCTGAGAGGTAGGTGGTATTATGCCCATTTGACAGATGAGGAAACATGGTCTTATGTTAAGAATCTTGCCCAAGTTCACACAAACAGTGGGAGCTTGGAGCAAAGCCAAGCTTATCTGATTTGAAACCGTGCTCTTGAACTGCTGTCCTGTGCTGCATGTAATTTATATTGGTGGGGAGAGGGTGTTTGTATGTGCACATATGTGCATATGTATACACTTTAAAGATGGAGGAAGGCAGGGGTGCCTGGGTGGCTCAGTTGGTTAAGCATCCAACTTTTGGTTTCGGCCCCAGGCCGTGATCTCGTGGGTTGTGGGATTGAGCACCGTGTCCGGCTCCCCATTCAGGGAGATTCTCCTGCTGCCCCTCCCCCTATTCGTGCTCTTTCTCTGTCTTCCTCTCTCTCTCAAATCTAAAAAAAAAAAAAGATGGAGGAAAGCATTTTGGTATAATCTCCACTCTCCACTGCGGTAGGATCCCAACACGGATCCTTATATGTTATATCCCACAAGAGGAATAAACAGCTAAAAGATAGGACAAGATTGGAGAGTTGACCCGAGTCAGGCATAGATCACTGTCTGGGTGCATGAATATGTGGCGCATCATTTCACCTCTTTTAATTCTTGCTTTGTCTCTGTACATCAAAGGTTCAATTATCCATGTTAATGGAGAGAACTCAGATGTGAATAACTAAAGAACCAGGAATCTAAGGAGCAATTCAGTAGCAGTTTGCCATTTATATGTGGATTGTTTGTGCTAGATTTATTTCCCTAATCTGTTTGCTTAGTCATCCCAGAATAGTAATAGATGGGCCTGTCCCAAGAGCAAAGATCTAAGTGGATTATCCACAGGGGAATACAGACAGTTAATTCGTAAGGAAAGGCTTTTGATTTCACTTAAAAGCATAGCTTCAGACTGCTGACACTTTTTCTTTTTTTCTCCTGAATTCATTTAGAACTTACGCTGTCAGGAGGATAAGAGATGCCTTCAGAGAAAATAAGAATGTAAAGGATCCTGTAGAAATTCAAGCCCTAGTGAATAAAGCCAGAAGAGACCTTGGAATAATTCGTCGACAAGTAAGATGGTTTGATGATGTACTGTCTTTAATTAAGAGCTGTAAACTTTGACATATCCCCCTTAATTGGACATCTCTGCTTTTGGTGTTTATGATTTATACCACAGGGTCATGAAACTGCTCCTTTTATTCATATAGACACAGAAAGATGACCTATCATATTACTGAACTCAAGGAGAACATAAAGGAAAATATCAGCTTTCCAGAATCTCAGGGAATGCATCCTTCTGGGGAGCTGCATTTTCATCGTTCACTAAAGGTTGATCTTTAAATATGAGAAACTTTTAAAAAAATGTTGCCCCTTTCTAAGATATATTTACACATTTATGCATTGACATATGTCAAAGAACATAAATATATTCTACTTTTCCTAGTATTTTCAAATCATAATTCAAGGTGATGTTGCCCTTTTCTTGGAGACATGATCGTTGGTGAGGAAGCTGAATTTTGTTGCCACATGGAAGGTGTATCTGCAGGTGCAAATGATGTAAGGCACAGCTGCTTAGCTACTGACCCCAGAATGGACCCTGGAAGGTGTGTTTGTCTTTGTCTTGTAGAAGTGCCAGGGATCACCTTGATTTGTGCTTGCTGTTCTCTTTCTCTGGAACATCTGCAGCAGCATGGTCTCCTGGGTAGTGTGATATGTCCCTCTTTCTGCAAAATTAATTAGAGAGTCAGAGGCCAAGTAGCCTGCTCTCGGTTGGTTTTCTCACCCTCTAAAAAAATCATCCTTTTCACTGTTTTTCTTTGATTTAGCAACAACCACACCATAAGCTCCATTTCTGCTTCCATTCGTTTCTCTTACTTGCAGTAAATTTGTTTATAAAATATGGAAGGGAAGTCCCTTATGATTTCCCTCAGTTCTGCCTAGTGGTTTTGGAAAGGGCTTGTTCAGCATCATCAGGAGATACCAGCTCAGCTGACAGCATATCATATCATACTATATGACATATATATGCATATATATGTATATGTATATACATACATCCCTAACCCTTCTTCATGCTTGACTCTAAACAATTCAGAAAAAGAAGCAATATTAAATACTGTAGTTTTCTCTTTATGTCAAATTCAGAAGTCTTGCAATGTAATGAAACAATCCCTTCTAGAATAACTTTCGGATTCCGATAACCCTCGTTGAGTTCTCCAGTTATCTATCTAGCAACAGAATAACTTTGCCACATTCAGACAAGCCTAGGAAATGATCTTTAAGGAAGGCCATGAAAAGATAATACGATAATCAGGGAAAGAAACCAATCTGCATATTTGCGTGTACTTTGATAGTGGCAGGTAAATGAGTTGTCATTTTGAAAACTCTAGGACGATGGCATTTTCCAGGCATCAGTGGTTGAATTTTATGGGCTCCTTTAGCACTGGAACTTGGAAAAAAACAAGCAGCCTGAGTCCTTATTTCGCATAAACTCAGATTCAGTTCTTTGGCACTTTCTGATGTAGACGTTGGCAAGCATCTCCCAGACTGGTTTTATCCTTTAGCATAAAGTTGCACAGAGTAGAAAACTGCTTAGAAAAGGTGTCTGTAAGTACTCTGTGCCACCATTTCTTCTGTTATGTAATTGTCTCTGTCACCTCCCAGTTTGAAATGCTAAACCGCCCTTTCAAAAACAAAAAGATTAGACTGGCTCTCTTCAGACATCCCCAGTGAATCCACACTCAAAACAGACTCAAAGCTATAGACTCAAACCTACAGCCTCTGGACCTGTGGGGGCCAGGGCGCGCTCCCCAGGACAGCCTGGCAAGTGCACCTTCCTTGCCAGTTGGGGAACAGGTGGGCCTACTTTCAGGCCCAGGGCCCTTTGCCAGGAGAGCAGCAGATGATTATGTTGGCCCTGAAGACTCTGCTCAGAAAGGTTCTGACAGGGCGCCTGGGTGGCTCAGTTGGTTGAGCGACTGCCTTCAGCTCAGGTCATGATCCTGGAGTCCCGGGATCGAGTCCCACATCGG